GGTTCCTGCATTCAACATGGGCCTCTCCTCATGTGTTTATGCGGTGGTGTTGACAGTGGAATGCAGACGGGGCACATATATCCAATATTTCACTTGAACTGTGCTTTACTACTCTCTATTTCTCTCGAATCTACGTTATCCTGTGAGATCTATGACGAGGATTCTATAAAAAAATGTCTATATATTGGGAATTGTCTTCTAGCCGACATGTGTGAATGTCCTCTCAGAAATATCGCTTCAATGGAGAAGAAAATGGACAAAAGATCAATTTCGAATTTACTGGTGATGAAAAAGGTGGGTTTTTGAAGTCTCCCATTCTATTCTCCTCCTTCAACTGTCTCCGAGGCGCTGTTAGGAAATTCCAAGCCTCGAACGGGCGGACTAATCTGCCATGATAAAAGAATTTTTATCAACTTGCAACCTCCTCCCGGGCTGACTACCCTCCCTCCCTCCCTCCCTCGCCCTCCCGGTCCTCAAAAGTCTTGCTCACAACTCCCTCCTTTTCCCCAAGAAATGAATTTACGCTACCAAATAAACCCTCTTTGGAATGATCGCATGACTATATCTCCCTCGACATGGACAAGGAGGCAGCGACATCGAAGGAAAACTCGCCAACAGCACGACATGAACACACACACACACACCGGCGCGGCTGAGAGAAAATATCGAGCGAGAGAACACACCCACCCAGCCTCGCCTCAACCGACGCTCCTCTTGAGCCCTCTTGAATATACGGCTTTTTTTAAATCCCTCTTTTTCGCTCAATGGAGAGAGAATGCTTATCTGCCTACGATAAATACGATGACAAGGGGGAGGTTATTTATAAATGGGGGGGAGAATGAGGATTGTGAATGTCTGGAAACAATGTCGGGGGCTAAAAACAAGAAAAGCATCGGTTGCCATCCATTAAATTCCTCCTCTTCTCTGGCTTTGACACTCACGGCTTCTCTCCTGAGGATTTCCATGTGTAGCTTGCGAGACAGTTCCTCATTCTCATCCTTTAGTCGTTCTGTATCTTCCTTGGCCTGACGCATTTTCTTTTTAAGGACCTCCATCAGGTCTGCTCCTTTGCCTACGGTCGTCATCTTGCACAGAATTACCACAGTAAGGTGTCACTCGGACCAACTCAGCAATCAGACTGAGTCGCGAGAGTCGTCGAGCTGGATGACTCGGATCGGCGGCCGCGTAGCAACCTCGCCGCTGACTGACTCCGCCCCTTAAACTAGTCCCGCCCTCGTCCTGTAACTCCCTTTTTCAAATTTCGTTATGGGGTGGTGTACGTATGAAATACAACAAAAGAGGGAGTGTGTTTGATGATTGCTTTGCTGGACTGACAGGGATACTTCGGATATTGAACGAGTAAGGTCTACTTTGACCTCAAAGAGTGGTAAAAGTTTTGAATCCCTCCGCGAGCCCACCTGAGCCATTAAATCACCTTTACTGGTTATATCATCCCAACTCATTTGTTATTAATCAAAATGACTTATATGACAGTATGAAACCAGAAGTGACGACCAATGACAAATTAATCAACAATCACGATTTACTTTAGATATTTGAAGAGGTATTGCCGACAGCCGGTGTAAGGGTGTGGATGAAATTCTAGGCGCCAAATACAAAAAAGTTACCACCTCGTTTAACTATATCAAACTCAAATCTAGAGCAGTCATATTGATAATCATAATCACAACAGCAATCATAACGAAAATACGTATTAATACTCGCATATTGACAAACATTAACATAGATGAAGCAACAATGACATCTTCAAATGGCCATGCGCGATAACACATTTCACAAAATCCCGTTCATGAAATCCTCTACGATCTATGCCTAGGACGTTCTCGTATAAACCCAACATCTGGCTCTCGCTGTGAAAATGTTTCGTGCTTGCGTAATCATAAGCGTCAGGTGAAAAATATCCCAGACTAACATCCTTCAGAGAAAGTCTTCAGTGGGACGTCTTCCATATAAGGCCTCATCTGGGGACCCCGAACTCGCCAAATAAAAACCTTTACTCTTCGCCAAATGTCTCCACAGCCACATGACTTTATCGAGACGCGTGGTGTATGTAAAGTGGTGAGACGTTTATATAAAGGAAACATTTTGGAATAAAACGAGGAAAATGAGTGACTTGGGAATAGCGAGAGAGAGAAAATAAAAGTGTAAGGTTGGCCAAATGTCTGAAGAAGCACAAAACTTAATCGAAAAACGCGTGGCTGAATTAATGTGATCAATATTCATAGGAGGAGAGAAATAAGTAAGGAAAAGTAAAAGAAAACCGAAGTTCAACTGAAATCCGAGTCTCTATCGCAAATAATTGTTGGTTTATCACTGGCGTTTTCGTACATCGCTTCTGACGTCATCCCCGGCGCCCATACCCAGCCAGGGGCGCCACAAAGCATTCTCTTGGGCATTTCTACTTCATTTATCGAGAATCTGGGGAAGTGTGATTCAGCCGTGGATGGCGTGAAAGTCTTTCCAAGTTTAAATGAATTGTGTTTTGTACACTATCCCTCTCCAGCCCGCCTGACAGCTGATCCTGACACGCGCATGCGCAGCGCGACCAGTAGAGTGCACCTGCCAACGGACATTCGAGAGATGTGTACCTGTAATGGCTGCGTTTGCCACCAATTCATAAACGAGAAGCGATTTCATGTCATTTCAGAAGTGAGGGCGTCCTAAGAACACCTGGCCCGCCCGTATTTGAGGAGAAATAGGGACCATAAGGCATCCGCGATGACTGTTGTACCTTGACACAGAAGAGTCCGGCCATGACGTAAACTCAAGGAAACGGTTGAACATTCCTCTTTCCTAACAGTCTGATCCTGATTAGTCATCTGGTATCTCTCTTCGAGGGCAACATACTCTTGGGACTTAGCAAGAAAATGACTTGTTGGGTGAAATTAACTTCTGCAGTGGACAGTTTATAACAAAGAGGCCAGAATCGAGACAGAGAGATGGACGTTTGAGGAGGGGGGGTCAGGCTGACGAGGGGGGGTGCCCATATGCCTGCCAGGTGACTCACTCTCCTCATAGGACCAAATCCTCAGGGCTGTCTTTGGAGTAACAGCTTCCGCAACGCTACAGTCACTGCCGCCGCCATCTTCGGTCTGTTCGGCAATCGGGAAAAGATCTCTCCCGGTTTTCTTTAGATTTGACGCATTACAAGATTTTTTTTTTAAAGTGGCGCCGGATTCAAGATTTTTAAGACAACGAAAATCATTAAACGGATTATGAACTCTTTACCGTTAATTCTTTTTGGTTTCTAAAGCTGAATTCTCGTGATTTTAGACTCGTAGGATATTGGTAACGAAAACTTAGCATTTTTCTCTCCCACGAATTAAATCAAAGAACAGCGTATCACAATCCATACCCCTACGCCCCCTCCCTTAAACCCCTCCCTCCCCTCCCCCTTTCCTAGAACATGCCATGAACACCGCTAAACTTTGAACTCTCTCCAAGTGTTCAGAAAATAGCTGTAGAACGGAAGGAGCGGTTCTGTCATGTACCTCTCCCTCGCTCATTTCCGCTGCCCTCATTGGTTTGTGTTCAATGTGAACCACCAACCACCCCTCCCCCCTCTCCCACACCCTCACTCCCCCTCACCCATTCTCCCTCACCCCCCAATGGTGGTGTTTGTGCGAGTGACTGACAGACTATTTGCATATGTATATTTGTGTATGTCGATATACGTGTAGGTATATGTCTATGTTCTTGGATGTTCGTATGTGTTACTCTGTATGTGTATGTGTGTGTGTATGCGGTGTGTGTGTGTGTATGTGTGTGTGTGTATGCGGGTGTGTGTGTGTATGCGGGTGTGTGTGTGTGTGAGTGTGTGTGTATACGGGTGTGTGTGTATGCGGGGGGGGGGGGTATATGCGTGTGTGTGTGTGTGTGTGTGTGTGTGTGTGTGTGTGTGTGTGTGTGTGTGTGTGTGTGTGTGAACAAGGCAGGTTTGCGGAAGTATATATGCATATGTGTGTGAGTGTGCATGTAATGTATCTAAATATGTACATGAGCATGTGTGTATATGCGCACTTAGGTTTCTATGTGTGTCTGTGCATGTATAGCCTATGTAGGTTAATTACATTTGTTACGCTAGTGTTTGTATATGTACGGATACAAGTTCTATGTGCATATATCCATGTATGTGAATGCATATATGTATATAATCGTGCGTGTATGTATGTATCTATCATAAGTATGTATCTGTGTACACACCAAACTATCGAACAGTCGTTTGTGAAGGCCTAACCATTCTAACAACTTGTTTGCTGCGCGGCGTGAACAGGGCGTGTGCAATGCTGCCAAGAAATGTCAAAATGCCTTAGTCATTACTGTGGTTTGGTGGCTGTTACGTCAAGACATGGGAGGGCGGAGTGATGAGGAGAAACACAGGCGGAGGAAGAGGGAAGAGGAAAATGGAGTGAGAGAGGGGGGGGAGAGGGAGAGGAGATACGGATAGGGGAGGGGAGGGGAAGGGCTGGGTGAGAGAGAGAGAGAGAGAGAGAGAGAGAGAGAGAGAGAGAGAGAGAGAGAGAGAGAGAGAGAGAGAGAGAGAGAGAGAGAGAGAGAGAGAGAGAGAGAGAGAGAGGGGGGGGTACAAGTTACAAGAAAGTTCAGAAAGAGAGAGAGAACTAAGAGTGTGACAAGGAAGGAGACTGAACGAAAGAGAATGAAGGAAAACGAAAGAGAGAGAAAAGACGGGACGAGAGAGCGAAACACGTGCTAAACTCTGCGCACTGTTGCCACCACTTTGCTCAGATGCCAATATGCAATTTGACATTTATTTTTACTTAGCAAGGAGCAGGAAACTACCTAGTGCGACATATGGGCCAACTTTTTAAAAACTATTTTCCTTTCTAACCCAGTGACGTGTGAGGAGTTAGTTTGTCTGTGAAAACATATTTAGAACAAAAACATAATAACTAGAAGGAAGGCTTGGACACAGTTGCCAACAATAACACTAAAAATCAAAGTAAACATGAAATACTAACCCTTTTCAATTGCACATTCATGATGTTGTGCAACTCGTTCTTTATAATGCTGAACTTCATCATAGTGTTCGAACTGAAAATGGAGGAGCCGAACGCAAAACCCGGATAATCGGAACATCTTCGCTTATATCTCTCTGCCACCACTTCTGTTGCCACGCTCTGACACCTAAGTTTGGCAAGTTCCTCTAGCTCTTTATCGTCCTCGGGGTCTGGTTTGGCATCAACGTCATTATTTACGTTTCTATCACGGTCAGCTGATGAGCTCGTAACATTGCCAACACTACCGAGTGCCACTCCACCGTTCACTGAAGTTCTGTTTCCTACACTGCTATTTACACTTTCAACTTCGTCTGTTTCTTCTGAGTCACCCGAGGGCGTGGCAATCCCATTTTGCATCGTATTGTTATTAACACTGTCTATAGGGGAGGAATGAGAGTGGTTTCCCGGAGCTGTCACACTGTTAGAGGTGGAGTCCATGTTTCCACCACTGTGTTTACACTCACGTCTCGGCGATGGCAGCGCCACTGGTGGCAGCGAGCCAACCTACTGCCTGCCAACCGCGGGACTTTCAAACACGCGCTACCCGACACTTGCTCTTCTTTTCCTTCCCGGAACGCACTCTTAACACTTCGTTATCACGCGAGGCTTTCGTAACGCACTTATCCTGTCCCGAGATAAGAGGAGCAGGCCGCGGGCATGAGGTTGGCACCGGGGACGACGGTGGCATCGGCAGGGTCGTCGGGCCACTACTGAGGGGGTCGGCGCCAGCGGGCCCCCTGTTCCATTTATGGCTCCTGGCCACGCATGTGCCCGCATACCCTCCATTACTATATTTAGCCGGCCGCCGCTCTTGAAGAGAACGCCAAAACTTTTGTTTTACTCGAAATCTTCGCATTCCCCTTATGTCTAAAACCACGCTCGGAAACAAGTGGTGGTTGCTACCCCTGCCTAGGCCGCCATGCGTGCGTGCATGCGCTCCTCAAATGCCATGGATTCCATGAGGAAAGGAATCCTTTGGGTGAAGCCTCCTACTCTATTTCTTCATGAAACTGCGATGCATTTTAATTTTTGGCAGGACTAAATGTCACAAAAAACGCGAAGAACGGCCTAAATTTTCTGATATGGAAGAATCACTGAACTGAATATAAATTGTATATTTTCTCTTCGACGTTAGATACTAAACAGCCTTACATGAATATCTCCAGCATTCGGACCCTGGCCGTCCAAAAAAAAGTCGCACGTTAAGCAACATGGATACAAATACCTCGCCAAATACACAGCATGAAAATCGATACAGTATTGTATCTTATCGGTGTCTCATCAGAATCCATCCTTTATCCATTATGAACTTACAATCCCCGCCAGAGAACAGGCCCCCGTTCCTCCCTGGCCCAAAAGAGGGAGGAAACGGGAGAACAGAAGTCATACTCACCCTCCGGACGTGAGGTCAGTTCAGGCAGCTCGGGTTACCTTGGGTCAGCTGAAGACGGGGAGGCTCGGGGGCTCCTGGGGAAGCTATGGGCCAGGAGCTTCCTTCCTTGGTGTTGATGTGACGGCTCTTACTTTGAACTAGGAGGGAATCTGGTGATGTGTGTCTTGTATACACGTATGCGTATTATATATATATATATATATATATATATATATATATATATATATATATATATAAGATATACATATAATATACATATACATACGAGTATAGAAGTCTTTTTTATGATTTAATGAGAAAGGCTTGTTTTGTTTCAAAAGCCAAGCGTGAGTTTTTCATAAGTTGTTATAAAGTACAATTGGAGTTCGGACTTTATCTGTAAAGATATACTTAGGAGTTTACTCCGGGGATGTTGCCATGCATGTTGTTATATGAAGCTGAGAGATACACGTTGAAATAAAGACAGGAAGAGAAAAAAAGAAAAGAAAAGAAAGTGCAGTAAAAAAAAAAAAACATAATATGATAATAACCCATTGAAATAACTGGTTACATTGTCATAACGATTAGTAGCTGAAAAAGAAAGAGAAGCTTTGTTGTCTTTAATGAGAATTGTGATGATGAGAGAGAGAAGTGTGACGGCACAGCAGCGACACTCTGGCGTTGGTGGTTGTGATGAGGGTGGCTCTGTCTGAGTGATGGTTGTGATGTTTTTATTTATATATAATGTTGACTTTTGGTGAGAAGGGATGACCTTTAAGTTGGTGAAGTTTAGAGCGATGTTGGTTTTTAACCCGTCGGATATTTTTTCTTCTGTTTGTGAGATTTAAGTTGGTTTAGCTAGGTTTGTTTTAATATGGATGCTATTCTTACGTCTCCACCGGCATCGACAGCAACAGCAGCTCCATAAAGTGAAAAAAAGAAAAGCAATTGTGATTTCGTTTCGAGGCGCAAGGAAACAAAAACAAAAGCTCATCGCGCTGCGTGCAAAATGCCCTTCAGAAAATGGGCGATGCGCATTGATCGCTTCGTCTTTTTTTCTGTCTGCATATTTTCTTTTTCTTTATAGAGGATTTCGCTTACGGACCCTGGCGTTTTAACATCAAAATTAGTCACTCGAGTTAGCTAATTCTACTACACGATTGAAGTCATTCTGAAATTCTTTATTTTTATGTGTTTTTTTTTCTCTTCATCAGAAAGTCTCGGTGAAAATAACACTTCTCAAGCTGACCCGAGACTTTTCCTTATTAAACGTTAGGCTGTTTAGTAGAGCTTTAGTCTACGAAGGGCAATACAAAACGAAATAGAAAGCTAACTGGAAATAAAATCGAAGAAAAGGAAAGGCCACTGGATATAATTTTTTTCAACAGCAGGAACGTGCTACCCTCGGGGGATAAAATTCAAAACAAGAATATTTCTCGACTGAGTATTATTAAAAAAAGATCAATCGGTTACCGAATTTGATCATTCTGGCATTCCGTGAACTTGGGAATAGTGTGGAAAAAAAAAAACTTATGGGGTATTATGAATCATTATAATGGATGCACAGAAGGGACCACGTGACTAGATATAGGCCTATGTTCTCAGTGGGATCTTGGTCTTTCGAGAGAGAGAATCAAAGCCTGCCATCTTTATGCTTTTCTGTCTCTATTTCTCGAAAGAACCAAAAGAAATCCACGGTCATGATCGTAGGCCTATGTCCGAGTCACATAACTATACTTTTTTGTGCTTCGAAGTTACTACTACAGGGCTGCTACGACTACTTTATAAGGAACATTCATTTGGTCTCCGGGGACTTTTTTCATTTTTTTATGGGGAGGGAATTCAAAATACTTCAAAAAAATGTTTTCCCGTGCTCGCCTAAAATGTCTATGTTTTTTTTTTGGGGGGGAGTGTTAAAGTAAATGATGTTGAATGAAGAATGGTTGGTTGGCTGTTTTGAGCGGAAAATCGTGAACTGACAAATAAAAGCCATTGGAAAAAATCGGATGTGGAAAAAAATAAAAAAATATGTAAAGGGAAAACATCGAATGGGATTTTTTCTTTTCTTTTGCATGATGCATGATCAGGCAGAGGGAATGGGAGGGGGGGGGGAGGGGGCAGTCCTGAAGGTTAAGGTTACGTTATTAGTAAACCCTAACTCATGCCAGGGCACGTGCTGACGGATAGACCAAGGCAGGATTTTTGATTTTGAGAATTATTATTAATTAATTATTATTCATTTCTCGCTGGGCGTGGAGGAACAAGAACTCAGGATGCGGAGGCCCTCTCTGCCTCCGAAGGGCACTCGCGGAAACCAGAGGACGCTTTCACGGACCAATTTCAGTGGGTGCTCAACACGGGGATCGTTTAAGGGGTGCGGAAAAGGGACGCAAATCACCTCGACATGATTGCACAGAAGGCTTTAAGCGGGAAATTTGATTTTAAATTGCAAACGTATTGACTTTTCTTTAGAATGGGTCATGCTCGGCTCCGCGCGACATTAGTAGCTTCTGGAATTCTGGACGGGGCAAGCTCGGGGTGAAGGCGGGGCGCTCCTGCGCCGGCGACGGGCCCCGCCTCACTTACGTTAGAGAGGGCCTTGTCCTTCTCCACAAGCTGGATGTTAGCCTTCAGCAAGGATTCCTGCACCTGGTCAAGGTCGTTCTCAAGTTGCTGCATCCTCTTCTGAAGGTTGTGAACCTCCTCCTCGCTCTAGGGTAAGTGCACAACGAAATGGAAAAAAAGAAGAAAAATAATGTGAACAAGCGTTGGAGTTGAGCAGCGGCGGCGGCGGCGGCGGCCTGCAGCCTTACTTACATTCTGCAAGGCCTTTTCCTTCTCATCAAGCTTATTGTTAGCGACGGACAGCTGCTCCTGAACCTGGTCGAGCTCATTCTCGACCTGCTGCATCTTCTTCTGCGTTATGCGAATCTCCTCCTCGGTCTAGGGGAAACTCGAAAGTGTGAGTGGGCGGGACAGACCGCGCGTCTACGCAACTTACATTGGCCAGAGCCTTGTCCTTCTCCACGGCGTTGTTGTTAGCGGTGAGCAGAGCCTCCTGCACCTGATCAAAATCGTTCTCCAGCTGCTGCAGCTTCTTCTGAAGTTTGTTCACTTCGTCCTCAGCCTAGGAGAAACTGCTAGGTTAATGGGGCTCGAGGCCGACACCGAAAGACACTTACGTTCGAGAGAGCTTTGTCCTTCTCCTCGAGCTGGTTGTTGGCGGTCAGTAGGGACTCCTGAACCTGGTCCAAGTCGTTCTCCAGCTGCTGCATCTTCTTCTGCAGCTTGTTCACTTCGTCCTCAGCCTATAGCAATATTATGGGGGTAACGGTGGTTATTGTGGGTAGGAGACATCCAGGGAGGATAGCCCATGTGTTTTGTAAGTCGATTTGGTTGGTGGGCGCGGGTGAGAGACCCGGGAATGAGAGTGGGCGGGGGTGGGCGGGTCAAGTGAAGTCGCCTGCCAAGGTGTTGTGTGACACCTGGAGACTCAGGAGTTAACGAGGGCAAGAAGCTGATAAGCGCGGCGCTCATCTATCGCCCTGCCCTCACGAGAAACGAGGGGATATATGACCACCGCGCTGGCAATCGCTACGCCGGGTTATCCACGACCTCACGCCCATGGTTTGTTGTCTGCGTGAGGGTGTGGGCGCCCTCGGGAACGACAAGCTGGACCGTGGGCGTGGCTGGATAGCTCGGTACGCGTAGAATCACACAGCTGAATTTTGCAAAGTTTCTCGAACGTGTGTGCTTGTGATGCATCGGAGCAAAGCCATGTAATGTGACTGATTTTTTACTTTATAAACTTGACAGACTATAATTGTTCGAGAAACGGGTGTTATGCATGAAGCTTGAAATGTTATGCATTGGATTGTGTCTTGTCGAGTGTAATATATCATCATCAATAATAAGAATATGACAATGCACTACACTGGACTATTCACCAGGATTCTAAACTCCGTCCCAGCTGTTAGAATCCTTAAAATAGACAAGCAAAAGACCATCTGTTTAAGAGAACTGATGGAATAGTGAAGCAAACATCGTATCGAGATAACCGCGTTTGTTTAGCAAAATTTCGTGTAATATTGAATAAATAGATATATAAATACACAAGTGAATAGATGAATAAATATGTAAATAAATGAATAAATGGAAAAATAGAGTGTTAAACGCAGTGCTCTCGAGTATTCAGCAAGGGATAGCGCAAAGGGGAAACGTGCTTACTACATTGCTAATATTCTCACCTTTGTACAGACGATACGGTCTCACTAGATCGCTATCTATCATTATATTAGATT